ACTAAGAAGACGGTCCTTGAAGCCACAAAGGACCTTGACAATTTGTCACTTGCTGAATTGGAAGGTGAATTGCTGACGTATGAGATGTCCTTGAATCAGCAGCCATCGGATACAGTAGAAGAGGTGTTACAAGCCAAGGTGGATCACCCAACAGGAAAAAAGGAGGTGAATCGTATGGACACAAATCAAAGGGGCCAGAACTTCAGAGGTAGAGGACGTGGAGGCAGAGGTAAATTTCCTAGTCGTGGAAGAGGTAATTATTCTTACCATCCCAGAAACAATTCTAATAGGGATCAGAAAAACAATCACCAGCAGAATCAAAGAAATAATTTTCAAAAATTATATAGAGAAGCAGAGTGGCTACTGTATTAAAATTTTGAGAACTGACAGAGGCACTGAGTATCTTGTTTGTGATGACTATTTAGTGGAAAGTGGTATAAAACATCAATTGACAGCCAGATATACACCTCAGCAAAATGGTGTGACAGAAAGAAAGAATAGGACTGTGATGGACATGGTGAGATCTATGATGCACTCTAAAGGTATTCCTAAATTCTTTTGGGCAAAAGCAGTCTCTTGTGCTATTTATGTTTTGAACAGGTGTCCTACTAGATGCAATTTTGGGAAGACCCCACAAGAGGTTTGGACTGGCATGAAATCGGATATTTCTCACTTCAAGGTATTTGGCTGTCTTGCGTATGCGCATGTTCCAGATCAGTTGAGAAAAAAATTGGATGACAAAGCAGAGAAGTGTATTTTTATTTGATATAGTCATGAGACAAAGGGATATAAGTTATTCAATCCAAACACAGGAAAGGTGATTGTTAGCAGAGATATAACTTTTGATGAACATAGAATTTGGGATTGGTCTAGAAAAGATCTTGAGACATCACCAAAATATCTATTCATTTCTCCCATTATGGGACCGAGTGCTAGTAAGCAAGTAGTGGAGCAAGTTGTGCACTCTTATGGTGATCCCTCAACTTCTACTATTCAGGTTGAGACATCCAGTCGACCACAGAGAGAACGCCGCATGCCAGCCCGATTTGATGATTATGTTGTTGGAACAGATGATGATTTAACTGATACAGCAATTGTAAATTTTGCTCTTTTTGCAGATTGTGACCCTGTCTCATTTAAAGAAGCTGTCAAAGATGATCGTTGGGTTCGTGCAATGGATGAAGAAATTCATGCCATTGAGAAAAATGACACATGGGAGTTGACCACTATCCCACCTGAAAAGAAGCCAATTGGAGTGAAATGGGTTTATAAGACCAAGTATAAGCCAACAGGAGAGGTGGATCGTTTCAAAGCGCGATTGGTTGTCAAAGGCTATAAGCAGAAGGCAGGTATTGATTATTTTGAAATTTTTACACCAGTTGCCAGACTTGATATGGTTCGTATGATTGTGTCACTTGCTGCAAATAATTGTTGAAAAATTCATCAAATGGATGTGAAATCCGCATTTTTAAATGGTTTTCTTGAAGAAGAGATATATGTTGAGCAGCCTGCAGGTTATGTTAGAAAAGGTCAAGAAAGCAAAGTATATAGATTGAAAAGGCATTATATGATTTGAAACAAGCTCCTAGAGTTTGGTACACTCGCATTGATACTTATTTTGTTGAGCATGATTTTCTGAGATATCCATATGAGCACACTTTGTACATCAAATTTAACCCTGAAGGGGATGTCCTTATTGTATGCTTGTATGTGGATGACTTGATATTTACAGGCAACAATCCCAAACTAATTTCTGAATTCAGGGAGGCCATGATTAGTCAATTTGAGATGACATATTTGGGATTGATGTCTTATTTTCTTGGTATTGAGGTTCATCAGTTGGATGATGTAATTTTTATCTCACAAAGGAAGTATGCAAGTGATATTCTGAAGAAGTTTAAGATGGATGTGGCTAAACCAATGATGACGCCGATTGAAGAAAAATTGAAATTAACCAAAGATGGTACTGGTGATTTTGTTGATGCTACTTATTTTAGGAGGTTGGAGGGAAGTCTCAATAATTTAACTTCTACGAGACCTGACATCACTTATGGAGTTGGTTTGATTAGTAGATTCATGGAGTCTCCATGCCAGTCTCACTTGCAAGCTGCTAAGAGAATTTTGAGATACGTTCAAGGTACGCAATCTGACGGTATATTTTATTCATCTTCACATGATAACAACTTTGTTGGATACACTGATAGTGATTGAGCTGGTGACACGATACGAAGGAGAAGCACTTCTGATTATGCATTTTACTTGGGATCTGGTGTATTTTCTTGGTCCTCAAAGAAACAACAGGTGGTTGCTTTGTCCACAGCAGAAGCCGAGTACATGGCGGTCACAAGTAGTGCTACTCAAGCACTTTAGTTGCGGAAAATGTTTGGATTCTTACAACACAAGCAAGATGGTCCTACCATAATACTTTGTGATAGTTTGTTTGCTATTGAGTTGACAAAAAATTCAATTTTTCATGGACGCAGCAAGCATATTGACATCAAGTATCATTTTATTCGTGAGTTAGTTCAAGAGCAAGAAATTTCCATTGATTATTGTAGAAGTGAAGATCAAGTAGCTGATATTTTGACAAAGCCGCTCAAATTGGAGATATTCATGAAATTGAAGAAGATGCTCGGCATGGTGAAATTTGAAGATCTTGATTTAAGGGAGGCTATGTAGTAGTTAAATCAAGTCTTGGTTTCCTAGTCGGTAATGGTTTCTTTAAATCCAAGTCCAATTGTATTCCCTTTGTGATTTGGAAACTAAGTTTTAGGAGACTAAATGGTCTATATAAACCACTACTAGTAGCCTTGTCAGATGTGCCGTGAGTTGAGAAGAATAAGATACATTGGTCCTCCTAGAGCTCTGCTTGTTTTCGGCTCTTGTCCTTGTTTTTGTTCCTTCGATTTTCGTTTCCGCTGCAATACTTATTTGACTTTGAGTTTTGTCTTGAATTGTTTTATCCTGTGGGTTCTATTCCTGCACTCTAGGACATTGCCCGTTGATATCAGCTGTGCACCTAATGCCGCGGCACTTGTTGGAGACCGGGGTAAATGCCATAGGAACATTGAAACCATCAACAAGGGATATATCAAAGAAATCCAAGTTATTTGTTTTTGTGTTCAGTGCATATTCTGCTAGCGTATTTGGCGGTTGACCATAGGCCTTGCACTGGAGGACACCATTACAGTCACTGGTTTCACAATGGCCTTGACCAGCACTGTTGAAAGTGCACTTGGTTCGAGCCCAGATGCGGGCTTGTGCCGTGTGAGGTGCTACGTTGAGGGTCCAAGTTTGGCCGTGGTCTAGGCGTCGGCCACCACCAGGGACTGCTGCTGTCCATACAGTGTAAGGGCACTGGTTTCGGATGGTAAAAGTAGCTGCATTTGGGTAGTTGATGAGAAGGGCCAGAGAGAGCAAGAAGCAGAAATGGTGTAAATATGCCATCTTATGAAAATACTGGCTTTAAATGTTTCTGCGATGGGATGAGAATGAGAATGTGCACCGAGACTACATAGTATTTATAGGAGGATATGGTGACTCCTAATGTTCCTTTTTCTTTTTCTTTTTCAAAAGATCTGGCCTGCTCAACATGGTCTGGCTAGGTTTTGGATTGCGGTCAGTAAGAATAGAAGGGTAAAGAAACAATTTTCCAAAAACAGAAAGAAAGTCCGGAAATGGAAAGAATTTGGATCTATCTCAAAGCTCCGAAATGACGCAACGGATCTTCTGTCCCACATCCTGTGGCACTCTCTGTGCCACTTTTTATTATATTGCTATTTCTGCTACACAAACATCATGTTTTAGTTATTTTTTGTTTCCTTAAAATCCAATAACTATTAATTGAGTAATACACAAAATTTAACAAACTAAAAAAATCAAAAGTGCATAAAAAAATCAATGAGATTTTTTATGAATTTTCTGATATATTTTTTAATTTTCTATTATATATTACTTTTTTGAAACTGCTATATTTATTTTTTACTCAATTAATAGTTATTGGATCTTAAGAAAACAAAAAAGAACTAAAACATGATGTTTGTATAGGAGAAATAGCAATATAATAAAAAGTGATACAAAGAGTGACACGGGATGTGGGACAGAAGATCCGTTGCGAATAAAATGTCTACTACGCATTTTCATATCTATCCCACGTTCTCGGATCCTGTTAGTCCGCTAAAAGCAAAAGGAAAAGCTTTAAAAAAAAGAAAAAAGAAAAAAGCAAATTTATCAGCACCCGCCCAAATCTATTAGGCCAAAGCTCTTTATAGAAGTTCTTTTCGTCAATACCTTTCTCGACTCATGACCCAACCCATCAAGTTGAATACAATTATCAAAGAAATTTATATAAAATCACCAAAGAAATCAAAATCAAATTTACCACCGTTAAACAAAAATTAAATGAGCCACAATCACAAAATATTTTACGTAAGTGTACAAAAATGGGTTGAGAGAACACTGGACCAAATCAGACAACCCTCGGTCCAAGTGCAGCGCAATTTACCAACTGCTAACTGCATATTGCAAAATTATTTGGATATATCCAATGCTAACTGGATATATCCAATGACCTGAGATTTTGTTCAATTTTCAGTCTAAGATTGAGTCAATATTAATTGTTTAAACATTCTTGGATCAAATATGTTTTCCTAAATTCCTTGTATGGTTCAGATTGCAAATCCCATTAAACCAACCATTACTACAAACAGAAAAAGGAACTGCTGCAGTGTTACTTGCAAAAACAAGTACATGACTGGCAAATTTGGAACATAAAACTATTTGTATTGATCATCTATCATATTCAACATACTCCAATATTTGTCTAATAGTCAACGAAAGTGATCACCTCCATGGAAACATAAAGTTTGACTGTCTATACAATTGGAAAGGAAAAGAGTAACTAAAGAATTTTCCAAAAGAGGAATGAAAGTCCAGAATTAGAAAAATTTCGGATCTACCTCGAACTCTAATTAAAATCTCTGCAGCATGCAATTTCATATTCATCCCACGTTCCCAACCAAACAGAATTTAGAGCAATATTTTTCATCAAGATTCTTGCCGTCTCTGCCTACAGTGGTGTTCAACTTGATGAAATCATGTTCCTTCAGTTTTTGAAGACTAGCTCTTCTGTTGGGTTGGCGCTGTAGACATAGGGAAATGAAATCTTGAAATTCTTTGGAGCAATCGGGCGGCGCTGTTGGAGGTTCACCATCAAATACAATTTGAGACAACACACTGGCGAAGTCATTCCTCTTAAACTTGATCGGAAACCGATTCAGATAAAATTGGAGAAGACACAGGCCCATGCTCCAGGTATCAGAATTGTACGTACCTTTAACGCTTAGACTAGTGTCCAGCAATTCTGGTGCTGAGTACTTGAGTACACCGGCATCCGTCAGTGGTGAAACATGGGTTGATACGTTTACACTAGTCTCAAAATCACATATTTTAATCAAGCTACAATCACGAGACAACAAGATATTTGAGGGTTTCAGGTCTCTATGGACAATGCCTTGTTGATTAAGGTAGGAAAGAGCCTCTAAAAGCTGTTTTGCCACAAAAGCCAATATTGCTTCATCTTTACAATGAAAATTATCCATGTCCATACCCATCAAGTTGGAAAGAAATCTAACTTTTCCGGGGAGGCTCTCGACAGCAAGAATGGTAAGAATGTTTGGATGAATCAAATTCCCTGCGAGTTTGATTTCTTGATAAACCCTTTTCAAGATCTCATCTTTTGGCCATATTCGCTTTTCTTTAATGGCGAAACACTTGTTGCTTTCCTTGTTACGCACTTTATGTACTCCTCCATAAGATCCCACACCCAGAGGATGCTCCCATTCGTATTCATCACCCCTGAAAATAGGAGTATCAGCGGGTACATGCAAAATGTAATTTCCGTCTAGATCTATACTATATGGAGGCGAGTTACAGGCAAGAGACATTGCATTTAGTGTCCAAAATTCAAGAAAATATACATTTTTCTGGGTTTATACTTATTTTTCTTGTTTGCCTCAAAAAATTAATGATGCATTGTACGTACAAGCAAAAGGTGTGGAAGAAAAGTAGGAGTAGAAGGTTTATTCCGGTGTTGGGCTGGTGGGTTTCTCGGTTAAACCGAGAGGACAAGGAAGTTGTGGTGGAGGTTTTGGGGAAGAAAGGAATGGAAGTGGACGGCTCTGGGAGGGGAAATTGAGGATGTAAACTGTAAAGCCGGAATGAGACAGAAGATTAAATCCCTTTACTACTTATTTGATTTAGCTTAGTACGCCTAATTCACTTTGTATGTTGTTAGCTTGCATTAAGGCACTTTCCTTGTTTAATTCACTTTGCAATAAAACTTACAACATGCGCTAATTTTTCTTTTTGAATTCGGAAGGTGGTAATTGTTTAGCAAGGAAGGTTTTATGCCAACTTATTTTAATGCTTACTGTTGCGGGCTGAATTAATTGGCAAAATGTCAGTAATTCTATCTTTTGCATATTCTATCTGGATTTCACCTTGAGAGTATATTTAGTTCAATGACTTCGGTAAGGCCTTTCTTTCCCTTTTATAATTTCACCATTCTATTGACTGTAGAATCGCAATGAACATCAACTAATCATAAGAAAAGAGAACAGGACTATTATTGGGATGGATGACACCGAAAACTAGCCAATTGTCTGTTAATATGTTTCGAAACTTTTCAAACAAAATGCAAGTCGCCATTGTTGTCTGCATAGGTTTTTGTCCCCCACAAGGCTAACGCATTTTAGATAGGATGAATGGCACTTTGCTCCCTTGAATCATGGGGTTAATCCCACTTCACCCCCCCCCCCCCCTCCAATCAAAACAATATAAGTGGTAAAATTACGTGTGAATTACTGCTACAAGCCGCAAATAAAATATGCTGAAAACGTTTGGAAGATATTTTCACAGACATGCTCTTAGTCCTTCACATATTTTCTTCATGTTTTCTGTTCTTTTATTCTTTCTTTCTAACTCTTGCAGCCAAAAATCGCTCGGTAATCTCCTTTTATTTTTTGCACACTTCAAACTCTGCCCATCGAAGATGCTCAGATGCACAATTACTTTCATAGATAGTTAGAGAACCCAAGAAACATTATTACCGGTTCATCTGTCGCCAATGAGATGCACAATGGTGTCATTTCCCATAGTCACAAGTTGTATTATATCTTCGTGTTGATGAGTTGCTGGAGCTAGATATGCTGAGACATTTTCTAAATGTTTATAATAGTGTTTCGTGTTGTAAGTTTTGTGTTTCTTGTGTGCTTCCATAATTTACCAACACTATCCCATTCATAGTTGTTTGGCTTTAAAACAACTCTCTATTCTTAGCAATTAGTTAGCTATTCAGGGTCAAATCTGAAAGAAAATTACTCGCTTCCTTCGAGGCTATTAATTCGTCTGACATATGTGGACGGGGGGCCAAAGTGCGTGTTATTTTAGTTGGAGAGGGTATATTGGGATTAACCCATGGTTGAGGTGGCAATGTTCATTCATCCATTTACATACAAATAGTATTCATCTCGTGCAATATTTTTTATTACCATTAGTTACAAATTGATACAAGGCATAAACAGTTACGGAAGGGTTGTGTTGGGTGGAAGGAGAAGAGGGAATGTAAGCGAGAAGTTCAGGGTCGAACCTTTTATTTACACTTAAAAAATAAAAAAATAAAAAGGCATAAATAGTTCAATAAAAATATTTTTTTACATATTATTGAAATTACATCAGAAAATTATTAGTCCGAGCATTTAACTACCATATTAGCTTTAGAAACTTTAGTATGTAAATTTACCACAATGTAATAATATTCATTAAATAGTATAATGCATATACAAAAAAGAAATAATAGGTATTCTTTGAAATAGTAATTAAATTTTCTCATGAATACAATTATACACCTAGTCATATTCATTTTAGTTCATGACAAAAAAAAGCACCAATCTACTTTTTTCCTAGAATGATTTATTATTAGGTCTAATAAATTTACTAATATAAAATTGAATTCACATTAAGCAAAGTTGTCATATATGAATAAATAAAATAATTCAAAATTTATTAAAAAGATAGAAGTTATTAGAAGAAAGACAAATTATTAGTAAAATTGATTGGAGGCGAGTTCATTGCAAAAATAGGTAAAATTCGAGTATCCATTGAATAATTAATTCTCTTCAATTAGGCACGTCACTTAGGTCAGAGAAAATAGTTAATTGAAATTAGAGCTTTCAAGCTACTAAGTGCCTCTAGGTCATTCGTTTAGATAGATTCAGGTATTAATTTTTTTTGGTAAGAACAAAATTAATTAGTAAAGATGTCTAAATATAGTTAGATGATAGTTATTCTAATTATTAATAATAGTTAAATATGTATTTTGTCAAATTTCTTAGCTGTCACAAAACTTCATAAATAAATGTACAATTTTGTCCAAACCAAATGAATTAGAGAAAATCATTCTTTTTTGTGTATGGGGAATGGGAGGTGAACCACTAGACAAGTACACTGGGTTTGTTTGGATTGTAAGTTATTTGGGATATTTCTACTGTAGCACTTTTTGTGATGTGATGTATGTGAGATAAAAAGATAATTGGAAAGATAAAACAGTGTATTGGAAATTGTAATGATGATGTAAGCAAATAAAATTGGGGAAATAATGCTCAATCCAAACAACTATTTCATTCGGAAAAGTCTGAAGTAACGATCGTTATAGTAACGAAACTGTTTTTACTTGATAAAACAAGTAAAAATATTTTTAGCGACCATTTGATTACCTATTGGACTGGTCACCTAAATAAGATAGTATTTAAAAATTTGGTTAGTAAGTTTTACATAAAAAATAGTAAGTTAACTCTATAAATTAGTAACTTTTATGTCTCAAAAAATAAATTGGAATAAATATGAAACTTACTTTGTTTTTGAAATAAATTACTGCTCTATATCCGAATCTTACTTTTTGGGGAGTAAGTTTAGTTCAAGTAATAGTAAGATTTTATAGATTAATAGTAAATATTGTTGATAGAATAGTAAATTTGGTTAGCAGTCAAAACCTACTAGTTTGTGGTATAAATTTACTATTTTACTTAAAAAACTTATATGAAACAAGTATTAGGAAGTTTATTTGAAATAGTGCTAAGATTTTTAATTAATGATTGAAATTTAGTATTATAGTTAGTAATTACTCGCAATGTAAATGTATGATACACAATTGTACGTATCATTTATAAATGTTATATGTTTTAAGCATTTTAAATATATTATGAAATTTTTTTTTTTTTGCATATGACCTTATAAAATATGTAAGAATAATTTGTCATATTATAAATTTTGAATTATTTTTGAATTTGTGAAGGGTTAGAAAGTTTGGATGACAATAACAACAAATCTTTCGAGTTATTTATAGAGTTGTACTTATCTATGCATCACAATTTCCATATATTGATACCTATGAATATAATAAAATGGTAAAGTTTTAATAAATTTATTTACTGGGTCACAAGAATAAAAGTTAAAGTTGTATTACAATAACAACAAATCTTTCAAGTTGTATATAAAATAGCACTTACTTATACATCACAATTTTCATATATTAATGCCTATGAATTTAATAAAATGGTAAAATTTTAATAAATTTATTTTCTGGATCACAAGTATAAAAATTAAAGTTGTATTAATGTAGTACAATCTTTGAAAATTATAATAAAATTACCCATATGTTAAGTTTTGTGACTTTCAAACATACTTTGTATCATTTACATTATGGATTTGTATCCATATTTTTTCTATCAAACTCTTTTTTTATTGGCAAATGGTATGTAAATTATTATAAAATGTCATTTTATAATAATCATAATTTTTTATAGATGAATGTTATGTAAACTGTTAAAATTATCAATTCACAAATAACTAAATCTTACTACTTTATGGCATATATTAGTTTAATTGACTAAAAAATTACTGTAATCATGTGTACGTTGATTGTTAAATTAAAATTTTCTTTATTACTAGCACAAGTTCTTCTAATCAAAGCAAAATAAAATCAAATATCTTTTCCTTTTGTATGCAGTAGTTATGCTTAGTAGAAAATTATTAAACCATTTTTACAATACATAATTCTTCTAAAATTAGTAAAATTTTCCATGAACTCTAACCTTGTCAATAATACTAACCACCGACATGTAGATAATCTTAAAAGCAAAAGCCATCAATATGACAAAAAAAAGAATATTTTCGTGCTGAACGAAAAAAATTGTGATTCTATATAGAATCAAAGAAATTCATCATGAATGAGAATGAATTGCAAAGTTATCACATTTCTAATTTCATATGTATCCAGAATTTCACGAAGAATTACTTTAGAAGAACTTTCCTTTTTCATACTAAGGAACCAATCCCAATCTCTACGTCTCTTTTATTTTTTCTTTAACCATTAAATGGGGTCAAAGTTGTTAGCAGCAAAATACTAAATAAATTTAATTCTATTTCAAGCTCTAATTAATTGTATACTAATATTTTACACCATAATCAATTGAGCACCAATTTTCCTTTTTTTAAGTAGCTATTATTTATTTTATTACTTAGGTTAAATATTTACAAATAAAATAATAGCAATAGAATGCCAATCCTCGGATCAATGGAACTTCAATTATTGTTAATAAAACTAATTTTGCATTGATAAAAATTAGTCTACATAATGGAAAGTCAATGGCAACAATTGCTAAAATATAGCAATTTTTAATTATGGGAAAATAAACAACTAAGTTCCCAAAATATTTCACTTTTATTGTTTAAAAAATCTCAACTTGTTAACTAACTTCAAAATAATCCTATTGTCAAAAATTTATTTTGCTCAAATTAACTTTAATGATTAGATGTGAGATACAAATATGGTAAAATATCCCTAATTATGTTGTTAAAATAACATCGTATCATAGTGTTTTAATTA